ATCGAGCTTCTCGAATCAGCATTTGCTTTGACCTCATCAACCACGGTGCATGGCAGCCACTGTCACACGGCATTCCATGACTGCATCGCTCACAGTGTGCCAGGTCAGCAAACAGGACAACAAGCAGGCCAAGAAGCCTCAGGAGCCTACCAATATAGTAGGGCTCTCATGGGCGGCCGACTCCTGCACGTCCAGGTGCTCGAAGCACTGCATCTTGAAGGATGGTTGGTCAGGAAGGTCGGCGACACGGGATGGATCTGCATGAAGGAAGCAGTAGGACCTCTGAGTCAGAAGACCTGTATTCTTAGCAATCATGACCAAGCCCAAAGGAGGCCTCTGGTCGAGTAAAGGACCCAGGAGACAGTGGAAGCCATGGAGGGCTTCTACGGGTATAAGTAGGCCTTGATCTTCTAGTTCAGATTGTAGGAAGGCAAGGACCTTTGAGGCCATAACAGATTATCACATTGATTTGAATACAAGCCCTATTCCAAGCCCTTACCTTAAAGCCCTTGTCACAGCCACAGAGACAAGAGAGACGAGACCCGATGGCAATGAGACCTGCTTCAGAGAGCTTTTGGAGGATATTGTACGCACTAAAGACGAATTCCCAAGCCCCCTTTTGAACCAGAGTTTAACGCTATGTTCTAGAAGGAGAGGAAAGCTTGAGAGAATGGAAGGAGGAACTGAAAAGGGAAAGAAAAGGGCAAGGCAGGACGAGGATGTCAATGAAGAAAAAAGACAAAAGAAGAGAAAGATGTAAATGTGACAGGGTTATTAATAATTTGAAAATGTATTTATGTTTTCAAACATGCCTTTGACTTTGATAAACGTGTTTTGTATTGTGAAAAGACATTTCCATTTTCAAAAACGCATTCGATACCATTTATAAAACCACTTTCTAATCTTAAAATAACTTTTTTAGAACAAAATAGACGTTTTATTATATTAAAACGTCTTTTTAATAATAATAAGGCGTTATAATATTCAAAAAGACATTTACTGTTGAAATAATGTATATCTTTTTATAAAAAGAGGTTTCTATTACCAAATAGACATTTTGCTTTGAAATAACGTCTTTTAAGTTATAATCAGGCGTATCATACTTCGGACTAGGGTTTTTAAATATTTAAAATGTACTTCTATTGGAAAAGACGTTTAATTTGAGACCAATGCTTGGTTGCTTATACAAAGGCGTTTTTATATTGAAAGAAGCAGTCAATGTTTACAAAATACCTTTTTTTCTATTACAGAAGATCGTTTATATTGTGATGAACACTGTTTAAAATTAACGTAACACGCAAAGAAGTCATCTTGGAGGGACTGCTCATCAATGATCCCGCAAACTTCTTTTTTCTTTTGCGAGAGAATAACGTTAAGGTAACCTCTTTAGGCAGTACGACTTGGTCACGCGCGAGTGGAATTATGCAGTAGCGTACGCCATTAATAAGAAACGAGGTGATCTTGCAGGACATCTAGATTCAAGAGACATGACCCTGCAGCTAGCTGAGTTTTGCTAGAAGGGAGTCTTTAGTGAGCCGGCATAGATATTAGATTAAATGAGTGTGTGTGGCCCCTAGTGGGCAGAAAACTACACCAATTAGAACAAAGAGTGTGCAGGATTTTGTCATCCAGGCCTAAAAGAGACAAAACCCTTGAAAAAGAAACCAAATCCACTATCCCAAAAATCCCCTTTCAGTCTCCTTCACTCCAGCACCTAGTGATTTAGAGGAGCAAGTTGCAGCCGTTGAGAATGTCAACATCAATGACAGAGTTGCCCTATGGTGTGTCGAGGCGTCAGTGGCTGATTTCAAGGAATTGCAAGAATTTTTACTTACAGAGTCACCCTGAACGTTGCAGCAGGCGGACTTGCCCGAACAGGTGCTGCCAGCAATGGCGACGGCGCAGATGGGAATGGTAATGGGAATGGGGATACCAATTCCTCCAATGATTTTGATAATGTTAACGATGGTGGTCTGGGTGTCAGAGCAGCAGACGGGGTTCTGGCCGCTGGTGCTGCAGGTGGGAGTGGTGCTGGTGCGAACAGCGAGGGCCGGGTTCTCCGAGGTAGCAGGGAGAGCGATGGCGGTCATGGCCATGGCGAGGACGGTGAAGATGGTGGTGAACTGCATTTTGGAGGGTTTGGAGGTGGGTTTTTGGTTTTTTTTTTTGGTTTTTTGAGGCTTGAGAAGTTTGCTGAAGATCTGGGAGGCTGGGCTTTGCTGATGATGCTGCTGATGATGAAAAGATTTGAGTGTCGATGGTGGGGGAAGATGGGAGTCTTTATAGACATTTTTCCTCAGCCAAAACATCGTTTCTTGCTGTCCTGTCTTTGCGATGATTCTCTCGATGTTGGCCATCTCTGAAGTTTGATGGTGGGCGGCGATTCGGCGACTTGGCCTCCACCTGTCTGCCTTGTTTTGAGGTCAAATTTCCGGTTCATCGACATCATAGTTTCCTCTTCAGGTACTTGAGGTGTGAGTTGTATCTGTCGTGAAACCTATACACTGTAAGACTCAGGAGTTCCAGCCGTCTTCAACATGATATGACGGTGTGCCGTGATATTACATCCTCTGCAGAGTGAAGATCTTTGACAAATCTGGACAAGATTCATTAGGATAGGGACATGTGCAAGATGTAGGTATGCGTATGCGACAGGGAGTGGATTGCTGGCCCTGCGGCCTCTGGGAGGGCAACATCTGCCCCGATAGCCGTCAGGCCGGATCACCAAGATCTGATGCTACTTACACAACATATGGTTTTCATTTCTATCTCATCATTCTTGTTCTCTCCAGAACTTTCAGTTTCCCCCAAACACGGGGGTTCTTTCCCATCTGTCCAAATTGGAATGTTTCTGCCAGTTGCCTGGGAAAGTGTGGGTGCGGCTCGGGGTCCAGAACGAGTTACCCGCCGCTGCCTGATCCTCCAACTGCATGATCTCATGAAATGAGATGGATGTGTGCTCTTCCCAGCTGTGTCTGAGACGGGACGGCACGCCACAAAATGCAATAAGCAATATGATCTGACCGTGGCGGTCCATTGAAAATGAAAATTTTCAAAAAGTCATCACCTAAAAGGCAAGTAGCCGAACATCGGCAACTAAACCAGGGGAGAACCGGTGTATCCCTTCCCGAACAAGTGACGAATCACGATTGCAGCCACGAAAAGCTTTCTGGCGGATGTTGGCGTCTGCCAATTCTGGGGTTGGCCAATTGAACTTTTGTACCACACACCGTGGAATTCCTTCCGTTTGAAAGAGAGAGTTGAAGGAGCGGTACCGACACACTTTGCACAGTTGCATCACAGCTGTCTTTTTTTTGTCAACGGAACTTGCCTTTTGGTTGAATTTTGAAAATCAAAGATGGATGAGGTCATAAAATTGGATGGACGAGAGGACAGCAGCATCTGTGCGTAGGGTCTAAGACAATAACGGTTTTTCGTGTCTACTATTGAATTCTGCATCACCATGTGTCCATGTCTCCGAGCCGCGTCCAATGAAGCTTGATTTGTGGGAAATTGATAGCCAGCCACTTCCAAGTCGGATAACTCAGCTCGCACTGGTCGGAAGAGGGCTACTGTGGGTCTGGTGTCACCTCGAGGCATCTCTCTCTGTCATCCAGAACGACACTTTGACAACCTGGTGAGTAAAAAGGTTGGTTGTGTGTCTCTTGGAGACGGGAAAACAAATTTCATGACACTTGGACACCGCCAAGCCCGACAGCCTGCAGGTCTAAAGTCCATATTGCAACATCGGATGGACAAAAGTTGTAATCCTACTTGTCAGAACTCAAAAGACCCATGCCATGAGCCAATATTCTCATGCACCTCCTATTAAACCATGACAACAAGATACACTGGCGAAGTAGCAACCCGATGCTTAACTCCTTTAAAGCACGTAGCCTTTGCTGATCATTTCTTGTTCTGGGAAGATCGACATCATTCTGCATTCTTTCTTTGGCCAATATGATTTCCCATCAAGTTTCTAGCCTCTCACGAAATCAGCCTCACGCGTATCTCTATTTCCAACAACCTACAGGACGGCAAACGACACCAAGTGCTCGGACTTATGTAACTTGGGCATCATATCATGGTTGTCTGATGGGAATTGGTGGTTGCTAATGCCTTGACTAACATCGACTTGTCATGAATTCTCGAGAAGCATCATCCCGTTTCCCAACAATTCCAAATACTGGTAACACGACTGAACCAAGGCAGACCTGCATATTGACGGGAAAAGTTGCCTCGGTTCCAACTATGGTGTCGATTGTTGACTTGTTGGCAGAAGGCTTCAATTTCCTTGACGAATCTCTTGCAGCCACTTATTCCACCCAGCTCCTCAACGATGATGAAGCCCGACTCATCACACCGATGACCGGAAGCAGGAATGGCTAGAAGATTTCGGGGGTTTGGCCATCCCCCGACACCCTCGAGCTTCTCTGAGTCCATTGTCTCTCGTCTTCATCCTACGACATCAACCATCTGTCTCTTCGCCCGTTCTTCGCCCCCAAACCGCACAGAGGAGAGTGGCGACCCCATCTTTCGGGTATCTCTCGATACCCACCATCAACTCTTCTCGAGAGTCACTCGTCATCGTGGACCACCGAACAATGAATCATATCAGGGTCAACAGCAAGAGACAAAAGAAGTAAAAAAAAAAAAAAGGAAAAACAAGGAGGAATACCACAGTAGCAGAGAATACAATGAGGTTACTGCTCGTTATGTCATAGATAAATATTTTTGAGACCTTTGACCAGAGGATGAAGTTACCCAGCTACATACAAGTTGAGGTTCGCAAGAGTATCAACTATCAACAGTCTGAGCACACACACACTCCACCAACATGATTCAATCCTTTTGTCAACCTCCTTGTGGACATTTCCTTCCATTCGTCTCCACATATACAAAACTCCATGACACACAAACACACACACAAAACAAATAGACTTTCCCCCTAGATGAACATTATTTTTGTCTGCTAAAAAATAAGAAAACAAAAAAAACATGGTTCTATAGTGTAGCGGTTAGCACATCGGATTCTGATGAACAGAAATATTCCGGTAACCCCGGTTCGATTCCGGGTAGGACCTGAGGAAGAAAATCTTTCTTTTTTACTTCTGTTTCATTATTTTTTCTCCGATATAAAATGAGTCTTGGATGGTCATTTTCTCTTCAATTGTAAAAGCCCTCCGTATCGGTTTGTTGCATTTGTTTCAGGCTTTTTTTTTTTTTTTCCTTTTTTTTTCTAAACTTGCAATGGCGTGAGGTTTGTTTCCTCCCGTCATCATCCACCCGTCGTCATTCCTCAAGCCATGGACTCCACCCAAACTGAGTTCTGAAAAGCCCTCAACCCTGATCTATTCTCCACAAACTCAAAAACACCTCAGCCAGAAGTTTATGCCTCAAATGTAAAAAGCAGACCAGAGAAATAAAACCTTGGATTCCAACATGCATGATATCCCTTCTTCTAGCCACCTTGCCCGGCTAGCTCAATCGGTAGAGCGTGAGACTCTTAAGGAGTTCTCCAATTATAATCTCAAGGTTGTGGGTTCGACCCCCACGTCGGGCTCAATTCCCGATCATACAATCATATTCTCTTTTTTTCTTCTTTTGTTTTTTCTTCTCGTTCTTCAGGTTTCTTGTTCTTATCTCAGGGAAATTGAGCACAGGAAATGTGACCTTTTGAGGTGATGATTTAGTTCTGCATTCACGTGTTCCTCAGGATGAGCGAGTAGTGTATAGGTAAAGGTAAAGGTGACAGGTGCGGTTTGTTTGGTGTTTGTTCCTGATCAATTCTTTTATTTTAAAAAAAAAAACTGTTACATTTTATTTTGTTTTTCAGGGGCTTGGGTAGTCACGGGAGCAGAGGCGATGTGGTGGCCTTTTTAGAGTAGTATCTCTGCATTCGAGATGGCCGGTAAGTACGGAGAAACAGAACATGACTTGAGGTTGATTTTGTGGCCTGCTTTCAATGGAGTGTTTGCTCTTACTGCAACTAATGAGTATCTTTGTGAGGCTTTTTGGGCGTATCTGTTGTTTGACGGTCTAAAACTGAATGAGGTCCTAGTTGTCGTTCTAAAGATGAAGATCTTGAGGCCCCTTCCTTACGGTTCTGTTGGTCGATGGCCTAGAACTCAATTGAGATTGTACGTGCTGTATGTGTTTCCTCAGTCAATGCCCATAAACCGAAATCGGCGGTTCTTTGTCCTAAAAGTTCTGTAATTCAGACCTTCCTTCATCTCATCAAAGTCTCCTTGTATGTGCTTGTGATGGATACTAGGCATCCCATCATGATTCATAAAAGTAATTCTCTGTGGATACCCGTCTCACTATTGTAGTCCTTTCTACTAAAAGTCCATCTAGAAACAGACGTTATAGAAGAGTGGAGTAGTAATAATATTATCAAAAAAGGGGGATGCTATTATCGAAAAAAAGCAAAAGCGAATTCTTCCCTTCGCTGTTTGTGTCCTTTGTTCCCAGAAAAAAACGCCCATTGCCATGAAATGATGAAAGTGCCTACAATGAAGCCATACCAGCCATCATATATCTCCTCTCCTCCCCTATTCAGACCTCCTCTATTGAATTATTCAACTTTTCAACATGTTTGACCGTCATCTCCGTCATGGAGACAAGAGTGTGACCGTAGGGTATTATGTCGGAAACGCTGCGAACGACATCACCCTCTTCATCGGGGTAAATGCAGAGCATCTCGACTTCGGAACCTTCTGTTCCAAACTCCTCCTCACCAAATGTTGCCCGTGTTGGACTGGTGGGACGTTTTTTGCTGACAAAGACTTCCCGATACCCTGTTGGCTTAAACCCCATCCGTTGAAAGGTGTTTTTGCCAGCACCAGTAGCAGTCAGTGCTTCGGTATAAGGTTAGTAATGACTCCCAAGAAATTCATATGACCGGAAATAAACTCACCAGACATGCCAATGACTTCCCAGTGCCATATATCTTCCGCCCGACGCGTCACTTCCTCCATTGCCACCTCTGAAAAACGCCTCTGATTCGGAGTAGGCGGTTCTACAGCCAGTCTCTCAATGTGATAAACGTGCAGACCGACCTGCTCGGGTTTTCTGTTCCTCTGGTGGGGAAGGGTTGCGGTCATGTCGGGAAACATGGTGCGAGGGTCGATATCAAACTCTTTGAGCTTGCCCGAGAGAAGGTCTTCCCAGTGCCGTCTGAGCAGGGGAAGGACGATGACGACTCCCATGAGACCTTGCTTGGGGCTGTGAAAGCACATGGACAGGTCGGGACAGGCTGATACCCAGTCGCGAAGGCGGTTATCTGGTAGTGGAACTGGGTACATGGCCTGATCTGCGTTATAGACAGCCCTGAGCAATACATCCGTGATTGGCGATGGCACGAGTGTGCCGGGTGATTCGGGATTTGACATTTTTGTATGTTGTTGATGATGTTTGTTTTGACTTTTTTTTTTTTTGATATCGGGTTTTGAAAAGTTGCTTCCCAAAAGTTTCCCAAAGTCGGCGGCACCTGGTTTGGGAGTCGTGCAGCAGGGTACCGTGCATCAAAGTGGTCCCGGCAGTCACTTGGTGGAATTTGTGGGTCTCTAATTTGAATCATCGTTCGTTGAGAGCAGATTGGGGAGAACGGGGGAGCCACTGGCAGCTCATCAATCTTTTCGCTACGCACGGACGTCCTGATCTCAAAGTGGATTAAGGCTTGGCAACACTTTCCCCCAAAATGATTTTCCGTGACATGCACAATCCACAAGCGCCAAAACGCAAAAAAGCAAAAAAACAAAAAAAACAAAAAAAAAAGGGACCCAGAAAAATAAAATTGGCTCTTGACTCAACTGGGAACAATACCAAGAGATAAAATAGACAAAAAGAGAGGTTTTATGCCCACAGCCAGAATCGAACTGACGACCTCATCATTACTAGTGATGCGCTCTACCACTGAGCCATGCGGGCTGATCTGATGGAGTATTATCTTGCTGAAGCTGTCTTTCGTGCGGGGGAGAATGTCTTATGAGCAGAGGACGATGCTTGTCTAGGAAAAGAAAGGAAAATCATGTGTGTGAGAGACTATTTTTGAGACAAGTCGGGGTTCAATTTCACTGTTAAAAATTGGCCGAGGTTAAATATTGGATCACGATTGCTAAGATAACGAATTGGACAAGAGAGAGAGAGAGAGAGAGAGAGAGAGAGAGAGAGAGAGAGAGAGAGAGAGAGAGAGAGAGAGAGAGAGAGAGAGAGAGAGAGAGAGAGAGAG